TTGGTGTGAACAGTTACATGGTGAATCCTTAGTGAATCGAGAGGATTCATGAACTGGGATGTTGTAAAAGCAGCCTAAGAATCATGAATCATAAATCACATGTGTTTACTAATCATCAATCACTGGTATATTCAATCATTATGAATCCTAAAGTATAGGCATATATAAAAATCATGAATCATAAATCAAGGATCCATGTATAAGCCAAACCTTAATTGGTTCTCTGAATCAATATGTATTATTTCACAAGGTTATTACAAGAGCTCGAGGGGTTATCAGGATTCCATTATCATGATAATGGTAATTCAGGGTAAATCTTTGGAACATAATGCAGCCCTAATAATTCATTATCAAAGATAAGAAAGATGTGACTAATAATTCTCTTCATTGAAAACGAAAACCTTACAAAATATTTATATACAAAGAAAATATATTCAAAGGAATCTGATGGTCTAGGAAAAATCATAATTAATAATCTAGATATTTAGAGGTCACTCATATTACTTAATATTCCCCTTTGAAAAAGCATACATGATCACACAATTTTTTTTTTTCTAGTGTCTAAGCCTACATACTATGCAGACACTCATTACAAACGACATATAAACTAAATCAAATGATGAAGACAACTCCGTCATAAATAAAACGATCACAAGCAACGAATAAATGATAACACAAAGAAAATCATGAGAGAAAACCCGGAACACAAGAAAAAAATTACATTTCAAGGACGAGATTGAAGATTACCAACAAGGGTCTCTTATATCCATACATAAAAAGATTCTCTGTATCTCTACAAAACCCTAAATTCATTAATACTGCGCTTTAACACTAATTCACTCACTAACTTCCAAATTCTGGCAGAATGACTGCCTCTTTTCTTCCAAAATAGCTCAGGTTACAATCCGAACATCAGGAAGTTTCAACCATCGTAAACAAGAAGAAATTCCTGTTTGGGCAGTTTTTTTTTCCGCTAACTTTGCGCTATTTTCTGTTAACTATGCATCATATTTTGTGCTTTTTACTTTTTATCTTATCCGGGTGATTGTTTGAGGCTTTATATATCTTATGATATAGTTTTAATTTAAGTGTGCTCTATATAAAGGGACATTTTTAGCTATTTTAGCGAAAGAAGTTTATAGTTTGCATATACTTGACCAGTTTATGTACAAATGTCCAAATTACGTATATGAATAATTACTATTTTGTAAAGATCGGTTGTAACTAGTTAAGCAAGTTTGGCATATTGAATTTGTTAGGCCTACTGAAATAAAGGTCAACCGGGACTTTCACTTGAGAAATCTTATGATAGTTAAATGTTTTTGTTCCTATATATCTTATATTATCTCATGTTCTTTATTATCTTATATCTATCATCATCCATAATCATTATTCTTTGTTGATTTTTGTGTATCTATTATCAACCAGTGATATCATATCAGCTGTGTATATGTTTTCTTTCATTCAGTGAAAATATCCACTTATAGAAACATATGAAACAATCATACATATTTTTCACGCCAAAAATAAATAATGAAATAAATTTTTTCATACCGGTTGTGTCGGTGCTTTATGCATAAAGGAACGAGCATCGTGTCGGAATACTATGACTTGAATCTATCTCTTCAAAATAGTTTTCCGAATCACAATATCGCTCTTTACCTATATCAATTCTATCAACACACACGCATTCTTCTTCTCCTCTTTCTCTTCAATGCACACACACAACACACACACACACACACACACACACCACAACACACAACAACACACACACACACACACACACACACACACACACACACACTCAAAACACACACACACACGCACACACACACACACATCACACCACACACACACACACACTACACACACACACACAATAAATATAATATATATATATATATTATTATAATTATATAATTAACTACCCTATGCAATACATATATAGTACACAAATGTTCGTGCCTAAACAACTTAGATGGACAAGCAGAAGGAAAAAAAAAAAAAAAAAGATCTGCCTTCTCAAATTCAAAAAATCACACAGTTTCGATTACAGTAGCTAAGAAAAAAGTTTTGCAACTAGCACCTTATAGATCGCCAAAAAAACACTGCTACCTTTGCATGTTTGACTAAAATTTCTTTTATAAGTCGATCTTTATGTACAAGAAAGAAAAATAAATTTTAGAAATCTCAAGCTCGCGATTTCAAAGTTTTCCCCAAATACTGATATTTTCTATTATTTTTTAGTAAATTTCCTATAAAAGAAATAAAAACAAATCAGCCCATGATATGACAGCGGTTTCTACTATGAACTGAAAGCATAAACCATTTGTGAAATAATATCTGTATGGCAACATTTCATAATATTTGGGGAGCTTCACAAAATCTATATCTTTGCCCATTCATAACTAAGAAAAACTGTTAAGCTATTTAGATATTCATAGTTCCAGAAAAACTAAGGGTATCCTAATTTTTATCATCCAACAGTAACTGACTCACCCGTGCAAGGCATACGGGTTAAGAATCCTCCAGTTCTTGTGCCAGAGATCCAATCAAAACACTCGCGGATAAGTTTACCTAAAACTTCCTTTGTAACAAACAGCATCTGAGTCATTACCAAGCCATTGATGCCACCGCCATCTAGGCATAATGCTCTTCCTGTTCTCTGAGAGCCATTGCAGTTAGTTACCTGCCATCTGCAACAGGGTTACAGTAAAAGCATCAGTTTTATTTCCAGTTTAGCAAGAGATATACAAACACTGAAAAATAAAATCAAAGATAAAGAATAAATATGGAGGACAATAATTATAAAATATGTCTTTAATTTTACATCTATGAGTCATATATTCACTGTAATCACATTGACAAAATATAGAATTTTGTTAAATCAAAATACTCCCCGTAATCTGTAATCTGTTCGTCGATAAGTGTTTCATCCATAATCCAACGAGATCTTATTAAGAGCTTCTCATACGACGGCACTCCATTCAAATTTCCTTCATCCAAGCATCCATCAGAACACGATGTTAGCTTCACTTGACACCTGTTAACAGTTAAGCTAATTAAATATAACAAAAAGACACGTATCAGCTATATAAATTTATTTCTTTACACAATACAGCAAGTTGTGATTAGAAGCCTATATATCTTTGTTCATCTTAATGTTCTGAATTAATCACCTTTGAGAGAAGCGACATATACGTTGAAATACATTTCATAATATTTGCTTACAAAGAATGAAGCCCAAGAGATCTTTGGTCTTTAGATATAAGCAAGTAAGAGAGAATACCTCTTGGCTCCCACAGTGTGCAGCAAGTGTATAACTCTGTCCCTGTCTGTAGCTTTGGTCTTGTCATTTCAAGAAGCAGCCAAATGCCTTGGTATCTCCCCATTCTTGTTAGGCACATTAATCTCACCTCCAAATACAATGAAGGCTTGTAAACAATGAAATCATGAAGCAGTAATGATACTCTAGTCTGTTAAGTCAACGATGGTAGCTGGGTAAACAGAAAGCTTGGCTGTAATTGATGGGTGCAAGACAGGAGTGACAGACCACCATGTTCTTGTGGCGGACGCCACATTCACCTCAGCACCGCCGCTATCTCGCTCGGCTTAATTGCCTCACTCAGCACCGGCGGACCTCACTCGGCAGAATTGCCCTTATGCCGAGTCAACCGGCAGGCAAGCGTGGCGAGGTCCACACACACACACACACACACACCAATATATATATATATATATATATATATATATATATATATATATATATATATAATATTATGCATACATATATGTACACAATGTCGTGCCTAAAGACATAGAATGACTGACAAGCAGAAGGAAAAAGAAAAAAAAAAAGAATCTGCTTCTCAAAATTCATCCACAAGTTCCGATTACAGTAGCTAAGAAAAAAAGTTCCAACTAGCACTTATAGATCGCAAACCAAACACTGCTACCTTTGCATGTTTGACTAAAATTATCTTTTATAAGTCGAATCTTTATGTACAAGAAAGAAATAATAAATTTTAGAAATCTCAGCTCGCGATTTCAAAGTTTTCCCCAAATACTGATATTTTCTATTTGTAGTAAATTTCTATTAAAAGAAATAAAAAAGGAGAAAAAATCAGCCCATGATATGAACAGCGGTTTCTACTATGAACTGAAAGCATAAACCATTTGTGAAATAATATCATGTATGGCAACATTTCATAATATTTGGGGAGCTTCACAAAATCTATATCTTTGCCCATTCATAACTAAGAAAAAACTGTTAAGCTATTTAGATATTCATAGTTCCAGAAAAACTAAAGGTATCCTAATTTTTTATCATCCAACAGTAACTGACTCACCCGTGCAAGGCATACGGGTTAAGAATCCTCCAGTTCTTGTGCCAGAGATCCAATCAAAACACTCGCGGATAAGTTTACCTAAAACTTCCTTTGTAACAAACAGCATCTGAGTCATTACCAAGCCATTGATGCCACCGCCATCTAGGCATAATGCTCGTCCTGTTCTCTGAGAGCCATTGCAGTTAGTTACCTGCCATCTGCAACAGGGTTACAGTAAAAAGCATCAGTTTTATTTCCAGTTTAGCAAGAGATATACAAAAACTGAAAAATAAAATCAAAGATAAAGAATAAATATGGAGGACAATAATTATAAACATATGTCTTTAATGTTTTACATCTATGAGTCATATATTCACTGTAATCACATTGACAAAATATAGAATTTTGTTAAATCAAAATACTCCCCGTAATCTGTAATCTGTTCGTCGATAAGTGTTTCATCCATAATCCAACGAGATCTTATTAAGAGCTTCTCATACGACGGCACTCCATTCAAATTTCCTTCATCCAAGCATCCATCAGAACACGATGTTAGCTTCACTTGACACCTGTTAACAGTTAAGCTAATTAAATATAACAAAAAGACACGTATCAGCTATATAAATTTATTTCTTTACACAATACAGCAAGTTGTGATTAGAAGCCTATATATCTTTGTTCATCTTAATGTTCTGAATAATCACCTTTGAGAGAAGCGACATATACGTTGAAATACATTTCATAATATTTGCTTACAAAGAATGAAGCCCAAGAGATCTTTGGTCTTTAGATATAAGCAAGTAAGAGAGAATACCTCTTGGCTCCCACAGTGTGCAGCAAGTGTATAACTCTGTCCCTGTCTGTAGCTTTGGTCTTGTCATTTCAAGAAGCAGCCAAATGCCTTGGTATCTCCCCATTCTTGTTAGGCACATTAATCTCACCTCCAAATACAATGAAGGCTTGTAAACAAGGTTGAAATCATTGAGAGCAGTAATGATACTCTAGTCTGTTAAGTCAACGATGGTAGCTGGGTAAACAGAAAGCTTGGCTGTAATTGATGGGTGCAAGACAGGAGTGACAGACCACCATGTTCTTGTGGCGGACGCCACATTCACCTCAGCACCGCCGCTATCTCGCTCGGCTTAATTGCCTCACTCAGCACCGGCGGACCTCACTCGGCAGAATTGCCCTTATGCCGAGTCAACCGGCAGGCAAGCGTGGCGAGGTCCGCGGCGCTGATTCGCCGCGACGCGGAAGATAAGGATGCAGCCCACACAGCACACACACACACAGACGTGTGTGTGTGTGTGTGTGTACATATATATATTTATATACAAATATATTAATGTATATAGTATTTAAAAAAAAAAAAAAATTAAGCAGGTTTAATAGATTTGAGGAACATAGTAGATTTTGGGGGGACATTTAAAATCTTAGTTTTTATTTATGTTATTATAATGGGGCCAGAATTGTAATTTTCTTGTTCTGATACACACTTTCATAGTGATGTCCATCTGCTAGTTATATTATTTACAGATATATTTGGAGTGTGTTGAAGTTGCAAAGCTTTTGCTTCTTAAGTATATAGGTTTTTAGGTGACGAATAGATTTGAGGAATGTAGTAT